TTCCCACCCTTTACCAGACTAAAAAGAGAATAAATATATGGAGTAATCTAAGTTACTTCAGCAAAAACATATTACTCTGCTAAACAGAGGAAGCATTTACTACTCCATGCTGATTAATTCCATACATATCAGCAATTTCAGCAGTTTTGGCTCAGATAAGTTCTCTCAGTAGCACACTGACTGATTAAAATGCTCAACACACCTAGCCCCTTTGGGTACCTAGAGGACATTATCAGAACATTTTCCCTTTTATCTAGAAAGCAGAAGTGGTTAGGTTTTACCTAACCTTCCTTGACCTATACTTAAACATGAGTACCTGGAAGCATTTCTGGTATTTCTCTTTTTCAAGTGGCAACCAAGGCATTCCCATCCTGACGTTACCGTCGAGCAGGCAGCCTCTCACCTGCACCAAGGGTGGTTTCCAGCGCAGGTTCTTTAGCGGAGCAGGAGTGAAATGGAAAGAGCCAGTGGGACGTTTCTTAAGCAGCAGCCTAACCCCAGCAGGATTCTCTCGTAACTTTGCCACCAGATTTTTTAGCTGCCATCCAACCTAGGAAGAGAATAAAAGACATCTTTTATTTAGTATTGCTTTTCTGAAAGCGAACAAACAAGAGAAAACTAAATCCCCCAAGTCAAAGTGTCTAACATAAACCTAAAAAGTGAAGAGAGATTAAAAAAAGCCAGAATTAGGAAAAAAATTGAAAGCTCCTTTTTGGGAAGTATCTTCTTTGTTTTATTTCAAAGAAGCATCTCTACCTTAAGCTGTAAATTAAACACTGAGAAATCAAGCAATGCTCTTTATACTTCAGCTTCAGTCCTAGAAGGATGCATGAATGCACTCAATTAAAGTAAGACAGGAATTCTCCGTGAACTACATCTGTCATGTTTCTTTCTTACATTGAAAGGCATTGCTTACCCATGTTAAGAAAAATATGTAATCTTTTTATCTAAGTTCTCAGATGCAAACTATTTGACAAATACTTGGGGGTTTTGTCTGCATACCTGTAGACTGTAACAATGCATTTTGAATCAGGCCTTAAATACAACATGAAATATTTTAATATGATGTATGCAGCACTTAAACACAAAATATTGCATATTACTTTATCAATATATTGCAAAGAATTAATTTTAAGCCCAAATAAAATCTGTCTTGAAAACAAAATATGTAAAAGCCTCAAAAATTTCAATGGGAAAACACAAGAACTGTCTCCTGATTCCCATCCATTTTGAACCTGTGGGTAGCAAGCTTTGCAGAGCAAGTTTAAGGGGAGACTGGTAAGGCTCTTAGTTACTAACCACAGTTTGCCTGTTAACCTGGATCACTTCATCACCAGCATGAATCTTCTGAGATCGATCGGCAGGGGACTACAAAGAGGAAAACAAGAGGCATGTGCTTGAGCAGGTTTTATTCCTTCCCATAACCCCTACCAAGCTAAATCAAAGGTTTTATCTATAATGAAAGCATTGCTGAACATTTTTGCACAGCTAGATCACACATTACATCCACTGATGACTTGAGAAATGCAAAGGAACTCAACTTATATTTTTTTATATGCTAGGCAAACTACAGGGAAAGGCAGAAAGACATAGTATACATCCGTCACAGGCCAAATTGTACTCAAGTCCTGGGACAGTCTCCACTGTCCTTTTGCCTCCTGACTGCAATGTAGTTTCATTTCTCTCCCACTGCTGTCTGAAGAAAAGACTTCTGTCCTAATGCAGCACCTATCTTAAACTTAGCTTTTAAAAAAGCATATACTGATTTTTAAAAAAGTACACTAAGATTTTGAATGTACAGAACAAAGGATCAAAACCCCTCCAACCCAAAAAATAAATCCATTTCCCTTCTTGTTTCCTTATGTAAGTAACAGCTACCAACTTTAATGGGAAATTACCTGTCTGCATCAAGGTCAACAGATAAAATATATGCTTGCACACATCAAGTGTGCATAAACAGGTATTTTTCAAATACCTTAATAATAATAATAATAATAATCATCATCATCATCATCATCATCATCTTAACATACAATTTTCTTGGAGCAAAAACCAAGCTCTGAGGAACCATTATCAAGAAACAGATAAATGTGTCAATATTTATCTAGATTTATCTACGGCTGGTGCCATGCACCTGCTATCACTGCAGTTATTAAAAATGGTTTCACTGCTATAATACACCAACTCCAACCAGCCTTGACAACACCCAAAGCACCCAGGCATATCACCTTGGTATACTACACCCTGGTCACGAGTCAACTTCTCCCATTCACCTCACCCCACGAGTATTCACCTGGTAGCAGGCCAGCTCTTCCTAGTGACTCCAGAACTAAGTACTTGGACTAAGGACTCTCTACTCCTCGTCATCACACTTGCAGAGTTCAACTATTTTTTTTTTTAGAAGGAACTGTAGGAATAAACAGTGCAACAAGGGAAGAAAACGTGGGGGAATTTGTGGGAGGCTCCAGCTATCATGAGTAACCCTATTTCTTCATTGTGTTTTTGCTTCCTTTGAGAGGAAATGCCTCCGTGGAAGGCTACATGCAAGTGAGTCAAGCAAGATCATTAAAAAAATGCTGGGCCAAAGTCAAGTTTATGAAAAACAAAGCTCATTTCAAGCTGTCCTTTGGGCAATCAACAGCCTGTCTGGAGGAGGGTGGGGACCCTTGCACTGAGGACTCCTACAAGTGCCAGCTAGCACAGCAGACACTGCAATCACATTGTGAGAACGGAGGAAAGAGCAAAGTTTAGATCTAGGCCAACGTGATGTGGGAAGTCACAACTACAACAGCACAACTCAGGAATCCTCTTGGTTGATCTATATCAAACACACGGACTTCTCCAGCCCTTCCAATGTACAGTACTGTTAATTTTGGGGTTCAATTCCACTGCATTTCAACACACCAGTATATGGGGACAGCTACTAAAATACCATTCCAAACCTGACAAGGAAATTGAGCTGAGACCCAGCCTGAACCCACACCATCAGAAAAACACCAGTTGTTTGTAGCTCTCTGTCACTTCTCAAGTATTGTTGCTCCAAAGGAAAGAGCTTCCCCAAAAGAAGAACTAGTATTCATTTAAAAAGTGGAAGTTTAGGTCAACACTCAAAGCTACAGAAGCAATACAGCCCCACTCCTGGCCTCCAAAATGAGATCTATGTGCACAGGGAGTTTGGCGACAACCAACGTTACATTCTTTCACATATATTGGATCTTGAAATTGCTGTCTAAGTGGCCTTGGTCTATGTTGCAGACTCTGTTCAGATTTATGCCAAGGCAAGAGCATAAAAGTTATAAAAGCTTTCAGTTTTCACTCTGAACTGCAAGCACAGATTTCTACCCACTCCTCTCTGGCCCCTGGACTTGGCAGGGGTACAACTAGAACCACTGGTTCTTTCCTATTGACAAAAAAAAAAAGGCATCGCTGCAAAAGCCAAGTTCCGCTGCTCCTTTTTCTTTCAGCCACTGCTCCTGTAGGGCAGCACGTCTGACAACATCATAGCATCACCCACCAGCCTCAGCTGCTAGCCAGAGGCCCACTGCAATGACTGCCAGGAAGTCTTTAATAAAGTCTCAGCTACAGAGAGTTTGCAGCTTCAGAATAAACAAGCAACCAAATACAGTTGCCTATCATGCCACGCATTTACTTGCAGAATATCACTCCTAAAGTCTTAATTTTTCATTGTCTTTTCAATTTGCAAGGTAATCTTGTCACTTGACAGCTCATTGTTTTCATTACTCATTACTGAATTAAGCACACTACTACCTAAACGTTCTCATTAGGTGAGATTGCCTTTGCCAGCAGAGAGCAAATACATTCAAGACTTTGTTAAGCAAGATAGCATAAGCACTGGGAACAGCAGATACAGTAACTTATTAAAGCAATTACTTTAATGCCAAGCATTTGAACAAACTCATGTACTTGCAGAAACTGGTTTCATTAGACTAACAGTGAAGCTTGCGACAAAATATTTACAAATTGCGGATAAAGACAAATCATGCAGTATTTAAAGCAGTAATATAATGAAAGTTGTATGCAAAACAGGAAAAAGTAGTAAAAAAGTCAAACTAACACAATCAAAGCTACTGTCAGATAGCCTCATTTAATTTACAATTACTTCACTTACATTTTCTGTAGTTCCAGTAATTACATGTAATCCATCATAAGTTGATTTGATGTACATTCCCTAAATGTAAGTAGAAAATTAAAAACAAGTTTAAAGGCAAAAAACCCACATAACTTATCTGATTAAACAACTGTTGGCAACAGACTCAAAACATTACTAAAAAGACTTAACAATTCACATATTTTCCCTAGAAAAGTGTGTGGTCTAATATTACAACATTCTAAACCTCTTCACAAATCACTTTTACTGTAATTAATAATATTTACAATTACATTTAAAAGCTAATATATGGAATGCAGTTTAGAAACACTGTCTGGTTGGTAATACCAAACACTGCTGGTTTTGCTGCCTTGTCAGTCTTTGGCCTTGAGCAAAACTTTATTTCCTTACTGCCCAGTCTGCACTAGAGAATTACAGGTTTTGCTAGATGGCCACCAGCTCTCTTCATACAAATCACATTTACACAGCTTGGCTACAAATATTGCCTACATGTTCTTTTACAATTTGTCTTGGCAAGTCAATATACAGACTGCCTTGGAACCACAGTGCTGGCATAAGCAATAAAAGCTCTGGCAGAAGTATTTGTGGTTGTATATGCTAATGCTGAGTGTGAATGCAAGGACAAACAGATTAAGTGTGTGCTGACCATATGGACACCAAATTAAAAGCCACCAACAGGCTATTAACTGATAATTGTATAAATTTCCCCATATGAGGTGACCAGTACACTGTTTTCATCATTTATGAACAAATACGTATCTACTTTTTCTACCTACATCTGTTGTTAGAAGCATTCACACCGAGCTGTACATAACTGGATGCTACCCAGGAGACGTAGGCAGCTTATCTGCCTGATGTTACCATGCAAGTGTGGGAAAACACAAGAAAAAGACAAAACTTTCTTTGCCCCTTCCTCTCCAACCAATTCTCTTCCCTGTTCGCATGTCAGTATTCACTTGTGTGCACCCACCTCCTCCTTTCTTACTTATTCCAAGCTAGGCTGACTCTGCTTCACTGTAACTTGTGCATTAACAAAGAGGTCCCCATAACTTCAAGAATGCATGACTGATTCAGTCAAACCCAGTGGTCTAGGTAAAACTACACAGCATAGCAAGGCTGTAAAGCTTCCTCTAGAAGTGTTCATCTCTTCTGCCTTCAGGGCCAGGGGGGAATACAAATGCATTTAAGAATTTAAATTCTCTCCAACTCATTCTAAGATGTCTGTTCCCCAGTCAGAAAATCCACCAAGGTTTCAAACTCAGTTTCTCATAACCAGCACTCAGCTAAGCAGCATCCACTGAATGAATTAGTTTCAGTAACATTACACAGCCTCTGAACACTTGAAAGGATTTCTCATATTCATGCTAACAGCAAGCCTCAAAAATCCTTTTTTCTCAATCTTGCTATAAACACACAAAGACGTGTCTTCAAAACAATTTCTCATCACCTTTTCCCTCCTCCAGCCCCCTGTAGAAAAACAGCTGGTTAAGTTAACCTGCAAAAATAGAATTACTGATTTCACAAGCATCTGTAAATTCCCCAATATCCTAGTTAAGACCAATCTGCAACAATTTACCATCAAAAATTTTATTTGGTATCAACCTATTAATGTGCACACCAATCTCTGGCCACTGCTCCAGCCTACCGCCTGACAATTAACCTTCAGATATTTAAAACGAGGACATTACCGGTTTTAAAATACCTTTTACACACACACGCAGTGGCTCACAAGACTACCTATTAAACACTGGGGACATCAGGACACTCCAGAATCAGTTCTTACCAGGCCTTCCCTGGTTTAATGTTGGTTAAATGAACCTCCTCCAGACATGCACACTGGCTCATCAGTGGATCTGTAGTTGATCGGATTGCTTTATCACAAATGCCATTTAAAGTCTTGGCCTACAATGAGAACATACAAAAAACAGTTACAAAATTTATCTCCTGGCTTCTTCCTCTTTCATTTTTCAGAAACTGAAAGGAAATGAGTTCTAGAACTTGGTCTCCTAATATAATATAGTTAAGAATCACCAAAATAGAAAATTCATTTCTACAGATCTATTCTACAGCACGTTCATCTTCTTTCTGTAACCTAGTACAAAGAACCTGTTTCCATTAGTGTCACCTCATCATCACTATCAGATGCCAACAGATCCTCTGTTTAAAAAGATAAACACACAAATTACAGCAAAAAAAATAGGATTTGGGGTTTGTTTGCTTTATCCAAAATATAGCCCATTAACATACTGAAACATTCTGATGTTTCCTTGTGGGAACAATTGACAGTTTCTCATATCATTCTTTATTTCTGCTATAAGATTAAAATTGGCCATATATCAGAAAAAGCGAGATGCTGGCCAATGACTTATCTGCACAAAGCTTTACAGTATAAGGTAGGACATATAGCACTTAAGTGTTTCAGCATTACTTCTCCACTGTGCCTCTGAACTGACCTCTTCTGGAATGCTTACATAGGCAAGGTTTCTATTTCTTTTTGACCAAAATATAACTGACCCTAAGCCAACATTATAACTAAAGGCAAATTCTGACCTTGCGTGTGTGTCAGTAAACTCAGAGGCAGAACAGCTTTGTCTTGCAGATCTTCTAACTAGCAGAATGGCTAATTGATCAGAAAAAAAAAAAATCAGTCCAAAAATTTGTGCCCTCCCTACACTCAAATTTCATTAACGCCCCACAGTGTGCTTTGGGTCTTAACATTAACTGAAGCAATGCTGCAACTCCAAAAGCTTAAAGGAGAGAGGATTAGTACACAGTACAGTAGTTTTTTTATACAGAGTTCGGGAATCAGCAAGGTAAGCCACCTTTCACAAGGGGTTTGAATCCTTCAGTCAAAGTAGACATATATCATTACAGCACTAGGGTGGGGGAGAACTGTCTTGTAGGAAGACATTGGTTTGGATCACAATGGTCCCTGGAAACAATAGTACCAAGGTTTTTTGTTTTGCTTTACATCAGATTTATAGAGCAGCAATAAAATAAATCAAAACAATGTTAAAGTGTGAATGCGAGGAACTGCTTAAACAAGGGAACTCGAAACAACAATACCTACTTCCAGAGCAGGTGTGCACAAATGGAAAAAGATGCAAAAAAGTCCCTGTTACGTGGTCTCATTATTTATGGACATAGTTATTTTTAGTTATTGTGCTACTAAATTCCTAAGCACCTATGAGCTAGCGGAAGGCCTTATCAAAGAGCACAGCCTGGTTCATGTCAAAAGCAGGAAGTGATGATTAACTGTTACAAAATATAAAAAGCATTCCATTACGCTTCTTGTTTGGTCACAAGGCTGCTTTAAACAACCCTGAAAGCCCAAGCACAGACACAGAACTTCAGTTCTGTGGCAGAGAAGTTCTTTTTTTCACATGAAGACGCTTATTAAGGCACAGTGTCTGCTCATTAAGGCACTGAATGCACATCACAGGCATCATTGATTTATTTAGCCTATGATCATCCTCCCTCGAAAATCTGAGGTCTGAATTCTCTTGCAAAAACAGCTGTGCAATGAAACTTTAAGGAATACTTGTCTCTGTGCTATTACACACACTACTTGTCTGTTCAAATTTCATTGATTTCCTCTACAGTAAAGCATTTTTGCAAAATGATCCAGAACAATGTTTACTTGCATGATATGCTTGTATGTGTGGGATTGGAAAGCTGTTGTCAGTACAGTCGGTGTAGGAGCCACCAAAATAAATGTGAA